TGAATTAGTTAGTCAGTAGTTTTGGAAAAAAAAAATGTTTTATGTGTTTACATAATATAAACAAGTTTAAAAAACTGATTATATACTGACTACTGTACAAAAAATTTCAACAATTATTATTTTTCTTAAAAGTGAACATTCTTTTACGTAGCCAAGGGAGTATTGTGAATTAAGAATTCTTTGTTTTCAATAACATTTTTATACCTAGAGAAGAAAAATATTCTTACTGTTTAGTAGAATGCACCTGTTATGTATATTGTATAGTGTGTTTGAAGTTCTTGTTGACAAATACGTTAGCTAGCATTACAGATTTCATTATAGGCACTTTAAATGACAACAAAATCTATCTCTAATTTTCTTTTTAACATTTTATAACATTTAAATAATATTCGCGTAAACTGTAATAGAAATAACCATTAAAAAGAAATGTAAGTGAAAACAGAAAAATTCTAATATTCATAATATTTAATACAATGAAGTTATGTTACTTAAACGCAAAAATTTTTTGATTTCAAACCAAACGTATGGAATGAAATCAACTTAGAACCACATAAAAAATAATAAATAAAAATAATTTAGTAATTATAATTTACTAAAATAGTTTTTTTTTTATATGACAAAGTAGAGCGACAAATACTTACATTACTTAATAATTATAATAGTAATATAATCCATAATTAATAGCAACCATTTATATAAATAAAAAAAAATATCCAATTTTTATGAACCGAAATTAAATTCATGAATGAATTATATTATTTTGAATATATGATCAACATATAATAATCAACATTGATTTAAAAGGGAAGTTAAAAAATACTATCCAAGTTTCTTATGAAATCTGTCGATATAACTTTTAATGAAATTGGTCAATTTGTTTCTGAGATTGTTAGCAATAAACAGGTAAGTAGTCCGTTTTTGGTTTTTTGCATCAAATGATTTATCTTTATTTTTTTTAGGGGGAGGTGCATATAGAATATTTTAAACATAAAAACAATATATCAACGTTTAATAACAAAAATAATTGTTCAAGAATCAATAAGATTTGTAACTTTATTCGTAAAACATTTAATGATTATATCATTTCTAAATAGATATAGATTCGTTTTTGGGCTAACGACTGAAGGCTCTTGTTATTATTTTATTATTATAGAACAAACTTGAAAAATCTTTACCAAAATTAAATAGCATAATAATATAATTACACAGTTTGAAAATACTCTGTTCAATTTATACGGAACATTGAATATCAAACTTTATGTATGTAGTGCTTATAATTTTCTATAATTTTATGTTTGTGTATAAAGAAACGTCGCTATGTATCCTTTTTTTTAAATTAGGTTTTTAATTTTCATCTAATAATTAAATTCGACGTTTCTCTTAAAAGTTTGTTTATGCGATGCTTTTTTTATAGTTGGTTTTTGGACTCAAAACGACGGTGGGAACTTCTTAATAATAGCTTTTACAGTTTGTCACTACTGACTCGATCGAAAGCTATTAATCATTGTCTGTTTATCTGTTTATAGTTCATAGTATAAAAAAAAAATTTAAACGGTAATAATAAAGAATCGAAGGTTCTTGTGGATTTTTGTCATAAAATTGCTGCGCACAATACTTTGCTATTAGCTAGCTCATATATAACTATTTTTGAGATACAAACATAATTAGGAAATGCTAACAAAACCAAAGATCGGTGCGTGATCATTATATGTAAACAAAATCCGGAATAATTGTGAATCTTGATCTGAAAATAAAGTTGGATCCTCTTGATTACCAGAATCGTAATACTATTAATGAGATATTTAATTTCAAATAAAATGTATAAGATTGTATAAGTTCAACAAAAATTAGAATATTCGAAAAATGTTATGATATAAATTTTAACGTAAATGAATATTGAATATATATCTACTCTTTATAATATTTAGTGTTAATTAATATTTTAGTATTTTTTAAGATAGATAGTTAAAAATATGACAGTACATTTCTTTATTAGTTATTCAGTGGATTTGTGAAGTATTAAATCTCTAAAAAATTTCAAGTTCACCATGCCACGAAAATATTTAATACCTACCTATCAAGACGTATAATACCACATTAAAAACATTCGATCAATAAAATATTGTTTATGATTTTGTATGTTAAATTTTTTGTATTATTAACCTAGCATAGTACATTAAAAATTATCTAATAAATTTCCTGTTTTAGTTTTAATTGATATTTTATCAGCATATTAGTTTTTTTGGATAATGATTTAACTGAATACCTATTCAAAAATTAATTTTGTTTTTTTATTTTCCATGTAAAAAGTAGTTCTCTACTATTTAGTTCATTGGTATTACATCTAAATATTATAAAATTCTTACTAACTATAGTATTTATATTATAAATGTCGTAAAAATTAAAACACTTTAAACTAATACTTTATTTTTTATGTGTACACACAAATAAACAGGTACTTACTAACCTATTTATGTAAATTCTTTAACACAGTTTTGGTAAAATAAGCATTACATATTTGAGAAATGTACTCAAAATTAATAAAATAGCTGACTGTAATACGTACATCAAAATTCCTCTATAATATTTTAGTGAATCGGCATATCATATTATACTCATATATAATCAAACATGAAACCGATAAAATATTTTATAAGTGCGATGCGTTGTATCTTAAAAATAAATAAGTAAACACTTAATAAAAAATAAAAGGTAGATAATTTAGTTATATTGAACTAGACTATAAATATAAATGAAAGTGTATTTCTTTTTATAGTGAAATTCGTGTATATATATATATATATATATATATATATGTATATATAAGTTATATTTTCAAGTACTTGGTTCGAATAACTATTAATTTGAAAACAAATATAGAATATCACAAAACTTTCAAAATGACAAAGAGCATTTATATACCTACAAACCGTTAAACCTATTATTTTTTTTCATGAACTCAGAATAAATTGCTGTATGCATTGAACGTTTTTGTATGAAGGGAATATCATTTCAAACGTACGGCACTATAATAATAGCGTATAATATCAGTGACGATGTCTACTGGTGAGTGCTTGCACAAAAAAAGCCTCCCTATTTATCAAATAAAAAATCTCTTTTCATAATAATGATTATTACTCAAATGTAATATGAATGTTGCAACATTTATTTTAGGTATTATAAATTTGTCAGTCGTAGTAGAACTGCATACTGCGATTATATTATAGATCGATCGTAATAAATAGCACGATATCCTTAGGAATTGTGCATAAAATATTATTATGTAGAATGTAAGGCCCGGAAGGATATTATAAAATGTTATAGTTATTTATAAAGCAGTTCATAGAAACTAAATACTATGTATTATATTTAACATTTAATTTTTTTTAAACCTATTTCTTTCTCATAACAAAACGCATTTTAACTTAAACTTTGTTTTACTTTAATTATTATAAACATTTTAAAATAAGGCTTATAATATTGTATTCAACCAAACCTTGTCAGTAGGTTGTTATTATCTTTATGGAATTTCTATGCATTTTGTATTTCAAAAAATGTTGGTCATCCTTTTGTTATTTACTTCAATTTTTACATTCCTTCGCTTACTATTTAACATTCAAAATATTTTAAAAATTTCCTCTTAAATAATATACACATACTGAATGTTTTAAATTTGATTATAAAATTATTAAAAGAAATATATAAGATACATAAATTTTTATTTTATTTTTTTGAATTAAAAAATTATTCCTTTTAACCTTTCTTGCAGATAATCAAATAAAAAATGAATAAAAACCGTCGAAATTTTAGAAAAAATATCACAGATAAGTTATAGTGTACTTCTTACATATATTAATCTATATTTCAAATTTTGAGCAGAGCAATGAATATATCGGTTTTACAGTGATGAGTTTTTTGTGTATATACAAATTAAATAGTAGAAAAGTTTTGATTTTCAACTTTGATGATGGTTTCTCTGTATAAATTTACCTAAATATAGTATTTATTTTATTATTAATATTTAATTTTAACTATAATATTTATTCATACCATATTATAGTTAAATTATTGTAATTAACTTTTGAATTCATAACACTTAACTGTAAATAACATAAAACAGTATTAACCTATTCATATTATAATTAGAAAATATCGTTAAAATGCATAATATCGTCCAAATCTGAATTAAAGATATCTATAAAAAATAAATGTATAAAATATTTGTAGTTTGTCATTTTAATGATATTGACGAATTTCATAGAAATTTGAACTACATTCGCTTATAAAATAAAAATTTACTTATGTATTTTTAATAATTGTATTATACAGATATATGAAAAACTTATGTGAAATCTTGTATTAAATTTTAACAAATTTTAATTCAGTAAATAACTTTTTATTAACATCTGTGGAAAAAAAAATAAAAGTAAACGGTTATTAACCGTTATTATGCGGACAAATGCCCTATACAATATAACATTTCAAACAAACATAAAAAACTCACTTGATATTCCTATAATATTTTTTTTTATTTAAGAAAGTAAAACTTAAATGGGGCGATCAGTGGTTTCCAGAAGAACGTTAGGCGAAATAAATCGGCGGTGAGTGGGACATCGTGTATCATTCCCTCTCAGCCCGGGCGGTTAACCACACTCGTGAAACCAACGATATCTCGTTTGAACGTCATCCCGCCATAGCACACAGACGTATTGAATTTTGAATTTCAGTCGTGAGACTCGCTGCTATACTTACCGGAAACGACCGACAACTCGATTTTTCGCGGACGCGATAAACTCGAACCACACGCGCAGCGTTCGGTCGACGGGCTTTCTTGCGTAATCTTCTAATAATATATACGCCCAGTAGTTGCCGGATAATCCGGGTATCCAAATAGAAGGCACTGCTGGCCCGGGCGATATCTGGACATCCTATCTGCCCGGACCGGACTTTGGTCGCCATGATTTGACCGATTTTTTTACTTTTATGTTTTCGTTGCGCAGGACGACGATGGCAACGACGATGACGACTTCAAATACTTTGTGGAACCGGAAATCCGCTGGTACCACCACTGCAGTGGCGCGTTCGCAGTGCTCGGGCTGGTCGTCATGGCTGTGGGCGCGACGGCGATGGCCGTCGGCCACCTGTTACCGGCCAAGGACCCGGTGGTCGACCGGTCCACTCACATGGAGGTGATCGACCGAAGGGCCGTCTCGTTCAACGATCACTTGGCTTCGTGCCGTTACATCGGTTCGATGGTGTTCGCCGTCGGCTTCGTGTTCACCGTGGTCCGGTTTTGGACGTCAGTGATAAGGAACGGCGGTCGCAAAATCGGCGGCAATGGCGACATGCGGGCTGCCAAGAAACTGCGGGTCGGCAAGGAACGATCGTCGCCGACCAGGACGCAAACCGTCCGAATACCCATCTCGGGCAGGTTGGAGAGCGTACAGCCTGACCCCTTGGCCATAAAACTGCAGTTCGCCGACAGCGGTTAAAAGACTATAAAATTTCAAAACGCAATATATTATTAAAATTTATTATTACAATTTATAACATTGTAATTGATATGCTGTAACATCACATGTCGAGTACCTTCTAAACTGTGTTAGTGTAAACTGTATAGATAGCATTGTCGTTGTTATTATTATTATTATTACTATTAATATTATTGTGACGATTATTTATATAGTATATGTATATATTATAAACCTGAAAAGCTTAAGCTCGTAATGTGATTGTGCACAAAAAAAAACATTTGAAATTTCCAACTTGATATACACAAAACAATGATTACTAGTGTATACTTACTATGAATGGCAAACGACGGTGGTTTTGCGGAGTTTTCATCGTGCGTTGACTTCCGCAAAGTACGTAGTCTAAACAGTTTAACGTCGTACTCTAGGCCCAATCAAGTTTCAATAGTATCGCCCCATTCTCTAGATTTAAACACAGTATTTCATTTTTCGTTAAAGCACACAGAGTCTGACATTATTTGTGATATTTTTTTTCTTTTAAATTTACTATTTCGTTAATGTGTTATTACTTCAACTATCAACAACATCAAGAAGTAATGTCTAGTGTGATAATTTTATATATGAATCATCGGATGTTTTGCTAAAAACTGTTCTTCGGACAAAAATAATATTCTCCTATTGACTGTTAAAAAAGAATTTATGTTTTTCAATAATAATAATAATAATAATAAATAGGCGAAAGAGCTTATGGAATTCTGGTCTTCGCTATAAAGATTTGCGGTAATAGCATTGTACTTAAGGAATTGTTATTTGTTCTTGATATAAATTATTTTTATTTGTTTATCATTGTCAAATAAGATATTTCAAAAAATAAAATAATATTTATTTAGCGTGCAATGTTTAACACACATACATTCTTATATGTAACCACTTTTTAAATATAAGAATAACCATTATTATGATATTAAACAATCCAATTAAACATAATATATATATTAAATAAATACAATTTTAATAATACTATGTTATCCTATTATACTAGAGATTTATTATTTATTAAGTTTATTTTAACTAAAATTGATCTAAATAAATGTTAATATTTTTGTGATGTGGTATCAATATTTTAAATAATTTAATTAAAGGCTGTGGCTTGTAATATACATAAAATTGGGTATTGGTTTATATTTATAATTAAATTTTTCACGAAACGTCAACAATTTTTGTTTATATATATTTTTTGGCTAACAACATATACTTTGAAAAAATAATAAAAATAAATTCCTATTATTCATAGTTATATCTAATATATTATATAAATATCATTCTGGTATTGTGTTTTAACACAAATTTCTCAACATATATAATATTTTACAGTACAGGTTTAAAAACGAAATATATTAAAATCAAAATCGAATTGCTAAATAATGCTATTTTTTATAAATATTAAGTCATAATGTACCTACGTATTTATACATTGAGGTATTAAAACCTCGATGTATACTGATTTTTGTATATTTTATTTTTGTAACACACACGATTGTTTGTAATTTTTAATGGTACACCGTGTATTTATAGTCTAATAATGTTCTTTCCCAAATATTTTGTGCTACATTAACATATTTAACTAAAATTTGATTTAATCCATGTTAAAACAATACACATAATTAATATAAGTTTATTTATGTTTAGAATGTTTATGGTTGTAAAAAGTAAAAAATGTAGTCAAAACAATAAAATACCTATTTAAATGTATTTAAAAGTTTTATTTTTGAATTGTAGTACGTTTTACTATTATAACGTTTAAATTTATTTTATTTTAAAATAACAAAAACGATATTCATATACTATTGTCAAAAAACATATCACTTTATTATTATTTTTTTTTTTCAATAGTTATTAATGAAAGTTTTGTTTGGCACCTATTTATGATATTAGCAAAACAATATTTTATAAATTTAAAATATTAATGGTTAATAATTAAATCCTTGAAAAATATAGATATACAATAATTAACAATAAAATATCTTCCAAATTATATCTCTATGTTGACAATTTGTTAATAGATACCTATTTAAATAAAATTTTAATTTAGCTATAATTACAATTACATCATTTAAAAATTAAACTTTATTTATTACATAAAATATATATATATATATATATATTTAATAAACGTGTTTTCTGGATATTTAATAAAGTATTAAAATTAAATGTAAAACTTTATTAATCTTGAATTTTTATATTTTAGTTACTGTTATTCACGGTTTAATAATAAAAATGAATAATTTAAGAAATACTAATTATTATTAATATTAAGAATTTAATAATTGCATTAATTTAAAACTAGATAAATTGAAATTTATCTAAATCAGTGTTATCCTTCAAGCCCAAAATATGTATGTAACAACATTTTTAATTTATAAAAATGTATATAATATAATAAAATTCAATTTTTTTAATAATTAAATTGTAATTTGTATCATATAATAACTGTGTACTGTTACCTTTGCAATAATATCTAAAAACTTAAAATAATAATTAAAACTATGATAAACATTCTATTTGTATTTGTATTTTATTTGTTTAATATTTCTTTTAATATAAAAAATCGTGCAACTAATTAATTTTTATCTTTCATAATATATTATATTACAGCTTCGTCCAAGAATTTTCAATAAGTAGTCAAAATATACCTCAGACTAATTTAAAATATGAAATATTATGCTTATAAATCACATTTATGAAAATCTTCAAGTAAAAATCAAAAATATCTATTTTGTACTATTATTTTTAAAATTTATCATACATTGATATATCAATTAATTCCATACATTATTTTAGTTATTTTATACACATTTCAGTTATTGTTATAAATCATAATTGTTAAATATAATTATAAATTAAAACTGATTTATTATTTTGTTGTGATGTAGGTATAAATAAATAATATTGTTTAATCATTATCATTTATTCACTCATTTAAATTTAAACAACTTACTATAATGTAATTTAGTTAAAAACCATGTTTTAATTTTTTTTAAGAGGAGTAGATACTATACGGTGTAGAAAGTAGATAGATAGATACTATTGTTTTATAATGAATAAATTGAATAATATACAATACCCAAACATAACTGAGCAATGATATATAACATACATATATACTATATATATTATATAGTATACTGTATTACACAAACAAATAAATATACATATTAGTATTGGAATTTTAGTCTGAAAAAATTATGTTAATTAAAAACTTGTGTTAAAATATTATTACGCTAATATTTTAATATGAACAAAATGGTACTTATACATGCTTAGTTGATATTACATTTATGAACTTAATATAAATGTATATTTATACTAATTTTTGAAAAAAAAATTATATTATGTACATTAAAAATCTATAAATTGTTGAAATCCAATATTGCTTGCAACTAGTTAAGTATTTAATAATTTTTAAGATGAATATAGTTATCAAAAACCTTTAAATTTAATAACTGATTACAGATAAGCTGATGTAATATTTTTTAATATTTTTGTTTTAAACTATCATATACAACATTGTACAAAATGGAGAAGTAGAAAGTATGACAATTTGGTAATATTTTGAAAATGTTATTGTTAGAGCTTAGAGTTATAATAATTGTCGAGTTAATTCTAATTTAGTTAATATTTATGATATAATTCATTTATTTTTAATCTAATATCTATTTATCAAATATTTGTATATTATGTTATAAACTGATATTATTATACGATACATTAACAAGTACCTAGACGATTCAAAACCAAGACAACATTTTAATTTAAAATTTAAAGGTTAAAATAAATATTTTGATTTGAGAAAATAAGACAAGATAATTTAAATATTAACCATATTTATATTCTGAATGGAGCGATAAATATATTGATTTTACAATGATGATTTTTTTTTCTGTTTGACATTACCTTTTGGAAAAATAAATATGTTACAATTTTCAATGTTGGCGGTAGTTTCTAGAAGAAAATTTGATCTAGTAAGTACTTTTCGATCAAAAGTAATAAATTCCTAATATTTTTAAAAACAATTCAGGAAAAACGGTAATTTTTATGCAAAACTAACATTCAACAAAACCAATTTTGTTTTTTTGGTTGTAATTCAAAAACAAATAACAATAGACATTTGAAATTTGTTAAATAAAATATGTATTATCATTATTACATGTCTATGCAGTATGCACGATGACATTTTCAAATTATTTTGACTTTTTTTTTTGAGCTATTTAACAAATTTCCAATTTTTATAAGTTTTTATTTCAATTTTCTTAGATAAACAATATTTCTAGATCAAAAAATGTAATAATTTAATACAAAATATGTTATTATTACTTATTATAGTTATTGCCATCTAATTAAATCAATGATTGCTTAGTTTTTTTACTATGTTAAGCACTCGTAAAGTAAATATATCTTATGGGCGTCTCCAAGGAGAAGCCAAGACGGGGTAATTTCCCTCCTAGAATATTAAATTTGTTACATAATTGTAATAATTTAAAGTAATAATGATGAAATATAATAATGTTCAATAAATAAAATGTATAAAAAAATCTTCAATTATTTTTTAAAATTAATTTTGCTTCCCCCCCCCTTAGAAAAATGTCTGGGGACGCCCATAATATAACTATGAGTAATGATATAAAATTACCAGTGATATTTATTTTATATAGTAATATTGGGAAATTTATTTTTCAATATTAAATCGGAAATAAAAATGTAATATTAATATATTATTAATAACCTATAATCATAGGTGTAGGGTGTTCAAATTTTTGAAGGGGAGCTGTAGTTCTCCTAAAAGTAGACATGTACCAACTCTTTTCGTCTGCATTTGGAGGGGGGGGGGGCTATTTTCCGAATCGGGGAGGCATAGTCCCCCTAACTACACCTATACCTATGGTTAAACTGTATTCTAAATGTAAATTTGTTTAAAAAAAATTCATACTAAGTTAATTTTGATATTGTTTCTCATTTTATATAATGCATTGAAATATTTTAATTTAAAAAGCAATAAATTGAACCAGTCTTGAGCTATATTTCATCATAAAATAATAAAACAATATAAAAAAAAACTTCACTTGTTTGTGTAATTTTAGAACAATGTTATTCAACATAATATTAAAAAAAAAAAAACATTAAACAAACACAAATAAAATAATTTAATACAATAACTTATTAATTTATAAGAAATTATTTAAACAAATAAAGATAATAGCAAAACAAAAATAAATAGTAAGTAGTAACTTTCAGTATTATAAAGTACTATAGAAATCAATATACAAATTTATTTTAATAAAATATAAGCAATACATTAACTTATTAGTTATTTAGCCAGTATCATAATTATATATTTTTAGTTTCAATATTATTATATGGTTCTACTTCGGCTTCATATTCTGATAAACATTCAGATGTTTCATCATCAGCATATAGAATCACAAAACTTCCATGAGTAGAAAAATTAAAAAATTAAATTACTCCTAAAGTGATAGTTAAAAGTAATATTACTGATTTACGTCACTAACTAGTAACTGTGAGTGTGAGTTACGGCTGAACGTTTCGTTAACAATGTTGGAAACTGATGAATTGCAGCTCATTACTTATAATATGTACTTTACTACATACTTATGTTAACTTGGCAAACGCGGTGGTAACTACATGACGGTAATTGGTAAATATTATATCTTTATATAATATGATAAAGATAAAAATAATCGTTTTATTAAATTTTCTGCCGTACGAATTGCATTTATAACGATAATCGAATAATTCTAAATTACAAAACTAAAATTATCAATGCATATTTATTATTTAGTCCGAAATCAATCTTTGTTTGTTCAAGTTTATATTATACAATATATATATATATATATATATATGAATTTACGTCATGGAATATGTAAATAGTGATGAAAAATCGAAACCAT